CCATAAGCTCCTACCTCAAAGAGGTCATCACCTTTCCAAGAAGTGCACTAACTCTCGAGGCCCTGTGTAAAGGCAGGCAGATATTCCTTAGCAGTAATCAAAACTACACATTTCTCATTTCCATTCACCCCTCTAGAATTAATTCCAAAATTAGTAGGTCAAACAATTCTCAAAAGGGAATGAAGATTTCTGCTGATTTCTGTACTAGGTTAACTTGTGTTAAGATATCAATGAGCATAAACACAGGATAACAAAGCTGTCCATTAAAATCTGGAGACACTGAAAACTACCTTACATGCTTCGTTACTGCAGGAAGTACTAGTATGTTTAACTGTTGAAGTACTAGTATTAAAGCAATTGGCCAGCATTACAGCTGTTGTTTTACCCAGTAACTTTTAAAAGACACCCTATATCATGCTGCCCATCTTACCACCTCCTGCAGCACCCATCCAAATGCATCATATTATGATGAGTTATACTTACTCTAACTAATTAGGGAAAATCTAAGTCATACAAAGACAGAGAGGGAAAAGGGTATCAGTAGTCTTAAGCCACAATGGCATTTCCAGAGATACAGACCCTTAGGGGAAAAAATAAAACTAGATAGATAGTTATACTGCCTATATCTCTTTTATACATTTTCTAGCCACATTGGAAAATAAAACTTTTGGTTTAACCTCTCCATTTTAAAAAGGTCAAAATCTTAAAATGTTAAATTGGCTTGAACTGATATATATGTAGTCTATGAATAGAAAGGCCACCTATGAACTTGAAATGTATTCATCCGTATCTATTATTTACTATTTAAGTGGTTTCTAAATTTTCATCAAAAACTACACAAAATCTAATTAGAATTTACTATTTTTCCAAGTAAAAAATTATTTTAATTTTAAAAATAAACACAGTACTAGCAGTAGAAATTTAGTGTTTAAGGCTTAAAGAAAAACCACCTTGGGAAAAATTATTTTGAATGTAAATAATAAATTTATCTCATTACTATACACATTAATAGTAGCTTCACTGGGGGGGGGCTGATACTGGTGAATATATCCATTGCAATGATATTGCAGAAGTTTTCCTATATATCTCTTTTACCTCTTCTAATTTCCATTATTTTATTTTTTTAATTTCATCTTTATTTTATTTTTTTTCCCATTACCATTTATTCCCCTACCAATTTCCTTTTTTGTTGTTTTGGATTTTCTGTATGACTGTGTTTTTATGTCAGATCCTTTCTAATTCTATTACTGAGTGACTTTTCATTGTTAATTTTCTGATATAAAGTAGGACAAGGAAAATAAGTTGGTTATATCTTTATATTTACTTATACAGGTGTCATTTTATCGGCCTATTTCTAAGTATTTCATGAAAAGATTCTAGATGTCAAAACCTGCAGTTAACGTTTCTGTTTAGAAATACACAAAATAATACCTTTGACGTTGGCAACTCAAATGTATTATTCAGCAAAACAGCAATTACTCATTGTTTTGCACTTACATGATAAGAACTACGCGACACTTGGTGACACAATAACAAAATTGCAAAGTCAATTATATTTAAAATAGACATCCTAATAAAACATACACAACCAACTCTTTTTACTCTTTTTGAACTGTTTTGTTTCCTTTTTCTGACTGTTTGGAGTCAAATAGATTATGTGAATGTTAAACCTAAGCATAATAACTGATACACACACATCATGAGAAAAGTTAGAAAATGGGGAGGGGGGTGTAATATAAAAGGAGTATTCCTGAGGGCGTCAGAATCCATCTATCGAAGTGCCAGAACGTTGTATATTTTTGGAAATGTACAGGTACGATGTTCTTTTGCAATGTCAATCATCCTGGCAAACTTTGAAAGAGCAGTGTCTGCCAAAATTTAAAGCAAAATTTAAGCTAGGTTTCTATTAAACATTCTAAACAGCATTAAAGCAATACAGCACAGCAGAATCTCTTTATATTTAAGAAAGGAGGGTTTAAGGTGAGACTAGTTTTTGTTTTATTCTATTTTAATTGCACAAGAAGCATTTTTGTAACTTGAACTTCCCAGTAATTAATTCCACTTCTCAACCCAGCCTGCAGCCTGAATTGTAGTTCCCATCAGAAAATTAAAATGTTTGTCTGGATAAAATAACTTCTAAATGAACTCTCTATTTCTTTTTGCTTCTTTTTGTATTTTCTGCAATGTAGCCCCTCGCAATGATATTAGTTCTAGTGTGGGAAAATATTATAATTGAGATCTGGTAAGTTATTTGCAGACTTCAAGTTTTTCTTTACACTGTGCTGACATTTAGTACAGCCCTGGTGAGGAAAACAATACTACCATTCATAGCTCTAGACGTAGATTTCAATCGACTTAAGCGGGCACAATGAAACTTGGTCATTCACTGGTTACCCATATTGTGTTCTCAAATTTTCTCTCAGCAAAAGTATAATGACTCAGTATTGTATGGTTGCATAGACAAGGGCTCGGAACAAGAGACACTAGTTTTGTCTGACGGTGTGAGAAAGTCGTGAAGGGATCTTTTCTTCCAGATGGTGTTAAATTCAGCTGCCTTTTTAACATTGGCCTTGCACAAGCAATCTGCTGCTACCCTTTCACAAAGACTGCACTTGGTTCCCACTAGTTAACATGCATACTCACGCAACCTGCAACTTCACTCCAACTGTTTTACAATGCAGTGGTATGCTAAATAAACTTGATCCGGTTTCTGCCAATGTTAAAACTAGCTTTCAAAGAACTACTTAACTGATATTTACACTTCTTTTGACTTAAATGTACATGCCTTTGGAATATTTCAGATTTCAAAGAAATATCACCTTATTATAAGGTCATTGTAGAGATTACCTCAGACACCCTTCAGACCCAAGCTCAGATACAGTACCTCTCTTAAACACACACAAATAAAACAAAATGTCAAAAGTTTGATGTGTAATAGAAAAAAGAAAAGTTGGGACATGTTGCAGCAAGAGCAGTGGAACAGCAAAAAATAAAATGAAAATAATAACATTGAAATGCATTTTTATTGATTGATAAGTCATGTAACATTAGTATGATACAAAGCAAGTTTGATATGACAATGGCAAACACATAATTATAATATTTATTTTACTTATATGTTATATTTAACATATTTACATAAAAGACCAAGATGTAGGCAAAAGCTTCAGTAATTTGACTCCATTGAGTGCTTTCAGTAAACAATAGGTTTCCCCAGCAAACATCTTATTGCCTTAATTGAACCTCCTTGAGAAAGAAAACCACACACTTTGTAATGTAAATGTTAATTGTAGTAGACAATGGGTCTAGGTAAATAGCACCCCTGGACATGAAGTAAATGAAAGGAATACAGGCACTTAACAATGAAAGGTTGTTTGCACAAACAGTGCTTCAAATGTAAATAAACAAGGGTCTTCTCAACGGTCACTACAGTAGTAAAACTTTGGCACGTGTTTCTCAGCCAAACTGAGAATTTACGTTAACAAAGTCTCTCAGAGTTTCTCACTGAAACTATCAGTGGTTTTACAGGCTTCTCCAGACTAAAGTCTTAGAAGGAGATGAAGCTACAAAAGAAAGTGTAATGCTTTTGAAGAAAAGTTACATAGTTAGGATTTGGGATTGTCAGTCATCTAGGCCACGTGGATTTGGGGCATTTTCTTATTGCAATGTCTGCATTTATGTTTAAATGCCTACACAAATGTTTGCTTGGTGACATGTGGGCAAATGTGAGGACATTTACAAAAAGATTACTACAGGGACCTTCAAAGGGTCAAAGTTTCTGCTAAGCATAGTCACTTTGCGATTAAATAAAAATGGCTGATTAGAATGTTTCTAGCTGAGACTATACCAAAAACTTTTCATCATATTGTTACTGTAATCAACTTTCTACAGGTTGATGATTTTATAGTTTTACTTCCAGTGTGTCTACTAGTATAATTAGGCCAAGTTTCTATTATGTAACAGGTAAACAATTTGATGAAGTGATGATAATGTCTGTTATATAGAGATATGTGTTTTTAAATATAACTCACCCAAAATAAAAACCAAAAGGTGGTCACAAGGCCAAAAGTATGGACTGAGAATCTGACATGAGGGGCAGGCAGCAATGGCACTTTCTTGGAACTGCTCTCTACTAGCTTTCCTTAAATATTGAAAATCTCAACCCAAGAAGGGAGCCAAACTTAATTATGGCCAGATTAAACAGCGGTTATAAAATTAACAGAAACAGACAGCATGCAGCAGCTACAGACCAGTTGGTGCTCCCATTTGGGAGGCTGCAGATGGCTGTGGGTGGGAAATGCCTCTACTTTCTTAAGCGATGGAGATGAGTATGGTGTGTACTTGATGTTTTTTTCATACCCCCCCCCAACAGGGCTGTCTGTCATAGGCTGCCCGCCCCGCTTTACCACTTGCCCCCGAGCGTGGGAATCAGAGCGTCCTGCCGTTCACATCTCCTGCATTCCGTTTAGCGGAATCAATTAGGCAAGACAGACCCTCAGATTCCCCACCCCCTTTCCATTTTTGTCAGGTCTATATACGTCCTAATTATTTCAGTTTGGGATGCCAGAGCTGTTTCCTGGATAGACCTGATCATCCTTAAACAAAAAGAGAGGAGGCGCACACGTGGGTTGTGGCGTAAATGTCACTTTCATTTCCAATGCTAGGCCCAGAGTAAGACAGAACATTTTTTTAACACTTTGACAAGAGGGGAGGCGATCTCGTCTCCATCATGTCTTTCTGCTTCAGTAGCTTCCTCAAGGAAACCTTCTTAGAACAGAGAAGCATCTGTCCTTGTGTTTTGAATAGAAGAATAAAAATCAGCCCCTGCTTTTTTTTTTTTTTTTTGCATTTTCCTTACTACCACTATGTCCTCAATAGATACGAATTATTAACCTTCCAGTATAAACTTTTCTGAAAGTCCAATTTCATATAATCTGATATACACCCCCAAAACAAGCAGTTTCCAAGTAAAATTTTAAAATTTATCAGAGGAGGGGGCCTCAGAAGAGAACAGCCTAAATCTACATAATATGAAATCATTTTAAAACTAGGTACCAGTCATATCTACAACAGCTTTCTAAGAAAGGGAAAAAAAAAACCCCTCATATTTGAACTTTGCTTTTCAGTAGGACGAGCTGCACACGCCTCTTTACTCATTAGCACTATACAATTCTCCCTTATAACAACCCCTCTCAAAATACTTGGCACCTTTATATTTTAGCATATGTATGTCACTTAATTTCCTCTAATCCAACCTTTAATCATAAAGAAAACAAAAACGAAAACAAAGTTAGATTCAATAAGTATTCCTGACCTTTCTGGTTTTTACTGTCTCTTGGTTGTAGTCTTTCATTCTCACATGCTCCCCGGCGATCTTGAAGGAGTTTTTACTTTCGGTTATCTAGCTTTATGAAGACCAATACACTCATACAGCTAGATAACCAAAGATAACAACTCGCTTCCCTCACATGCCTCTGTCTTCCTCTGGCCTGAATCCAGATCCCGATCTTTCTGGCAGTACCGAAGAGTAGTCCTCCAGGACACTTGCCGCGCTTAAGATTCCTCCTTGTATGTAAATATGACCTGGTTTCTGTTTGTGTGTGCGGCTAAAACATCCAAACGAGATCTGTTGCTTTGAAAGTTTATTCCGAACTTTTTCCCCCTTTTCAGCAAGTAATCTCCGGCAGCGTTAGCCAACAATTCATCTATTAATATCAGAAAATAAAACCAGCTATTAAGGTGCAGCAAGCGGTTATGAGTGAGCAGCAGTATCCGTCCCTTCAGAAGCCTCTATTTGCATTGTAAATTGCTTCATTCTCACGCAAGACTCCTTAGCCTCCCTCTATGGAGATGTATGAAGCCAACGGCAATTTCCAGTGCAGGTTAAAGAGGAAGGAAAAAAAAGCATCCCATTCTATAGAAGTGACAGCTGATTCAAGGATCTGCTCCTGATCCTTTTTGGTTAGGCACCATGGGCTTTTTACCAAGCGGTGGCAGCTCGATTGCAATATCTTGTGTGTGTGTGTTTTAGGGGGAAGATCCTCGATTTCACAGGGCTTCTAGGCTGGGAAAGAGAAGATGCCTTCTTGCTGGCGTGCTGCTGCCCCCGGTCTGAAAGAAGGAGAAAAGGGCCATCATTGGAAGGGCTTTCACTGCCAAAATGTGGACCAGCCCGGCAAGGTCAAAGGTTCGAGACCGCGGGAGACCAAGGTAATGATGATGTCATGAGAAATCTCAAGTACATGGTTATTGATATGCATCAGTGATCAGCCAACTGCCCCAGGCCTGCTGCCTGAGCAGCGGCAGAGGCAGCAGCAGCAGCCGCAGCATTGCAATAAGCCCTATTTTCTCAATCAACATCTCTTCCGCTACCACTACCGACTGCTCCTGGAAAAGCAACCCGCGGCCTTTTACCTCCTTGGTACTAGTGTAGATCGCTCTAATATCCAAAGACTGGAAGAAATCTCTCTCTAAGGACAGATAAAAGCATTTCAGATCTGGGGAACGTCTTTGCCTGAATTTCTCTTCTGGCAGATTGCATGGGCAGACAGATGGAAGGCACTTTACTATTGCTTAAAGCAGGGCCTTGCTTTCTGGGGCTGGGAATCGGCTCTGTATTACGCAGTGAGTCGATGTGTGATTACATTGCTCTGGTGGTGTGTTTTTAATGGCTTCACAGCTCAGGCATGTTTTGTATCTATGTACCTTGGTGATAGGGTAGCATATTTTGTTCTGTAAGTTCAAAATGAATGCTTTAAGCAAGCCGACTTCATCCTGGTTTTTTTAAAAAATAACTGTCTATAGGGTGTGTGCCTTAGATTGAAGCACAGGTAAACACTGCAGCAATAGTTTCTAATGTTGTACATACTCCACTGTAATAAATGTTGAGCCTTTGTCTATAGTTTCAAACATCAGTTTGCATACAGAAGGTCAAAATGCATTAAGCTTCCTTATAAAATTATGAAAAAAATTATTGTTTACTCATGAGAAAGACAAACATTTGAATGGTAAAAGCAGACCGCTACCACCACCTTCCCCTTCCCCACCCTCACTCTTTTTCTTTCTAGAGGGGAATATTGTTTTATTATTTAATTAGCATCATCCCTTTTCTTAGGACTTTTCAAAGTGTAAATATGATCGCTTAGAGGAGCTCTCTTCTTCATAATGAGTAATCTCTGTCTAATGTGTCTACAATATGTACAGTTCTAGCAGTCAGATGCCTCTCAAGAGAATATCTAAGGCACAGTCCACAAGTAAACTTTATGGACTGTTTGCCAAAATTATGAGTTATGTTTGGTGGTATTACTACTCTTTAAAATATATGCTACAAGCCAGTGTCATAAATCTTCATGTTCACTTCTCACATCACTAGTTTATCACAATACTTTCATTTCTATAGGATAACTATTTTCCCCAATGACTAAAACACTTTCAGAATTATACTCTTTCATTGAGTCAGTAATTTACTCATTTAAGACATGAGTGTGACTATGCTTACCAAATTACATACAGAGCACACATATGTAAATTCTATAGAAAAGACTGATAAGTAAAGAAAATCAGAATTGTTAAGAAAAGCCCCCAAAAAAGAATACAAACAACAATATTACACCAATTAAAGATTTGGTTTAGTGACATGAATGCCAACTTTTCCCTAAATCTTTTATTAATTTACTTTTTTGGTGAGCATTCTTGTCCTGATTATTGGGGGGGGGGGGAAACAACACTATGGAAATAGCTCATCTATTTTTCTTATCAAATTTTGACCCAGGAATGGCTGCATCGGGGTGTATGTGTATATATGGCAAACTACAAACTAATTCATAGAAATATATTCCTATAGAATTACTGTTTTTTCTTGAACTAAGAGGTCATAACATAAGGTACTGGATAAGAATTGAACACATCACTGAAACACATGCCATTTTTTGACATTATGTAAAACCCCAATGAGCTTTGCTGCCCTGGAAGATTGAGATTATTTTGGCCTTGCTTTCCAAGACCTAGAAGCAGAATCACTAATGAATTGGCATGTACTACATAAAGTAAGCATATGATCAGATAAATTCAATTCCTTAAGTCAAAACCCCAGGAAATGCCAGAAATTTTTAGACTATCTTTTGCTTTATATAAGTCTGAGGGGAGACTGGTGAAAATAAAGAGATGTGATATATAAATGCATGTATTTCTGTGTGTGTATCACCTCCATATTTGTGTGAATTTGCAAATTAATGCTGCTATGTTTCCACATTTAAGAATTAAATGCATTTTTAGAACCCAAGTAACTATCATGACAGCCAAGACACTGAATATTTGAGATGCTTCTACAATTAGAAACTACATAAGATACTGTCTTAAAATAGCATCTTCTAAGGCAATACCACATAGTCATATCAACTGACTCCAGGACTGGCCTCCATGCCTGTTACATGTATTGTAGATTCATTATGAAAGCCTTGAGAAGTGAAAATAGCCAACGTAATGATTATGGGCAGTCAATTAAATATTTTACCTCTCCATCATCTTTCAAAGTATGAAGAAATAAAAGATATATAGCAAGAGTTAACACTGACCCACCTTATGATTTAATATTGCCAATGTTCATATCATGGTTTCTCATACACATTTCAGGACAAGACAAAATGTATATGTGAGACAAATTGAAACAATTGTGTTCTAAAGATGCCTAGCAATGTCTATGATACGTTGTTAGGAACAACTATTAATACCTATGGGGTTTTATTACAGATTTTTTTTGCTTTTCAAAAAGCTATTTAGCTGAGCTACAGAATACCTTTCTGAAATCTGCATATTGAAGAATATACTGAATTCAAATGGCTTGCCTGCTTATTCTCTAATAAATTCCCATTAATGGCCAGTAGATTAGGACGTGATTGTCATGCTTGTTTTTTAATCTTTTTACAGGTCTCCAGATGGCTGAAACATGAATTGAAACATCCTGGTTTTCTTAGGAATAAACAATCTCTGCTTAAGTTAAAAGTGAAAAGTTATGATTTTTCACATATTTGTATCAGAATTATGCTATTCCATAAATGCAAATACATCAGGTTTGCCACTAATATTTAGAACACCTCTATGAATCCTATTCACACTACTGCAGAGTATATGAAGAATTGGCCTATCACCAAAATTATTTTTTAATATTGAGTTTGTATGATTCTCATGCATGTAAACCACAGTCCACTGATACAGTCAAGACTACCATTTTCTACATAAAAGCCATTTAATTTACAGTGATTTGTATAGTTCAGGTAGGTACTTTAACTGGTTTGCTTTCTAATAACAAGTATCTTGTTATTTATCCTGTGTCCCAAATTTCTTTTTTATAGGGAGTTACAGATTATGTTTACATTATCTTTAATATATAGTATACAAAAGCTACATATAAGAAAAAACTGCACATATGGAAACTTAGATTTTTCTGGAATTGTATCTATTGCATGAACTGAGAGATATGAAATATATTGCCGGCCTGCCACCCAGTAAATAATATTCTCTTTTGATTCTGTACATCACTTTAATTTTGTCAAATGTAAATTTTAAAATTACCTTTGGTTGGTGGGGTTGTCTATTCATTTTTTGCTTCTTTGTAGAGTCATCTGAAAAAGTCAAGAAAACATATGATCATAGTTTTAATATATATATTTATGCATGTCTAAATTTGGCTTCATTTAAAGTATTGCAAATACAATGATTCCTTTAAATGTTAAGAGATTCCAGAAAACCCCAGTGCAATGTATCCTAGGCTTCGGCACCTACAGAGTTAAATATGCTAATTTGCATTTAAATAGAGACACGCATGATAATGGGAATGCAAAATATGCAGAATCTTGGAGGGGTTTGGAAATTAATTTTTCTTCTTTTATTTTTAGCTTGGAAGGAAAAAGAACTCAAGAAATATTAGGGATTTAAACATTGTAACCTGCCATACAAAAGAGGAGGGAGAGTTCGTCCCTGAAAGAATTTTAAGACTGGAACAAAGTCATATTTCCTAAATGTTTAAGGGACTGAATTTCAAAGCCTTTCAAACAATGGGAATCCCTGGATAAATATCTAATCCATTAGAAAGATGCAAATAGTTTACTCTAAGGCCACAGCACGGTGAGATGTGCATTCATATCTATGGCTCCTGATTGGCTATTTCCTCCAGTAAATCAATGAATAATGTAAAACCTGATTGCTGTAAAGTGGTGGATTTTTTTTATTCCCTTTCCCCATCCCCCATGACTCAATATATTCAAGAAGTCTTACACTCCTGGAAATAGGTTGCTTTTCTTTTATGATTTTTTTAAATGCTTATTGTTATTTTGAAGTGGCAGGGTGGGGCTCTTGGTTTTGCAAAATGAAAGTACTGCACTGGTTCAATGATCCTGACTATGGGAGCTTGTTTCCTGAGACAGCGCCCTAATTACTGGTGCCAAGGTGGAGAAAGAGGGTGGTGGGCAAAGGTGGGCATCAGGAGAGGGAGGACACTGGATCCAACCCTACTGTTCTGGGCCCAAGACAGCCACTGCTTCAAGAGAGCCCCCGGCCGTGGCCGTGACTTGACAGGGCCTCCGGTCTAACTTCTGATCAATTCCATTGCTGCCCTGACCCCTCAAGACAGTCCTCCATTCAAGTGCCGCAGGTACCTTTGCAAGAGAAAAACACCACAGACTCTACTGCAAATACATTGCCTGGGTTCCCACTGCCCCGGGTTTCCTCAGACAATTCCAGGCCACGGAAGGACGATTCTTGCCTCCCTCAGCAGAGTCTGGGCTTCGAGCAAATCGCAGAGACTGGGCTCCGCTAGGATATCAGAAGCTCCAAGTCCCAATAACCGACTGCCGATGGTGCTGCATCTTGATGAATCTGAACTTGGGATAACCCTGTAAAGCGTCCTCTCGACTTGCAGATTCCAAAAAGCAAAGAGAAGAAGGAAGTGGAAATCCACCAGGTCTACTTAGCTACTGTGTCTAAGTTTCCACCAAAATCCTATCAGACTCTCTTCTTTGCCAGGTAATTGCAACTTTGAAGGGGTTAAAAGAATTATTCAAAATGCGAATCTTGATCCAGGAACGCGAAATTCAGCCGTATGTGGCTCTAGGTTTAAGAGGGAAAATTCCCACCACCAGCAACATAAAATTACATACAAGATTTTCCTTCCCAGCAAGAAATTTGTCTGGCTTCTCTTTGCAATAGGGGGTCAGGCCGCTGGATAATTAACAGTCCTGGCTTAGACAATTCATGATATCAACAGGTTTAGAATCCAAGACATACAACCATTAGCTGAAGCAAACCCGGGACTGGCCCTCGGAGCGACCTGCAAGCGCATCGCTGCGGGCACCGGCTCGCGGCGAGGTGAGGAGCGCGGGAGCGGGGCTGCGGCGGGCGGTGAGGGCCCGGCGCCGCCGGCCGAGTTGCCGCCTGCGGCCCGCCACTATACTCACTTGTGCTCTCCTCCTGCGCTAGGCAGTGTCGCCCCCAAATCCAGAAGCGCGGGCCAGAAGACAAGATCCAGTCACAGGGCGGCCGCAGTACACAACCAGGCTCCTTTCGTCGTCTCAAAAAAAAAAAAAAAAAAAAAAAAAGGAAAAAAGAAAGAAAGAAAGAAAAAAAAAGGAAAAAAAAATCAGACCATCCCTCTCCTTAGCACATTTAAAACTGCCGCTCAATTCCACATGGTGATTCTTGCTTGATTGGGTCTAAAATAGTTTGAACGGACCTTCCCTTCTGGGGAAAGAGGGAAGGGCGCAAAAGACGAAGGAAGAAAAAAAGCCAACTTTTCCCCCCCACGCCAGGCACTTGCTCCTTGAGCCTCGGAGTGGAGAGTGAAGTGGTGTGTGCGAGGCTCGGCAAGTTTTTGGGGGGGCTGTCCAAGGTCTAGTCCAGCCCCCTCTGCCGAGGAGGACGTGCTCTGAAACTCAACCAATTTCCCCACTGCTTTTGTTACTGATGAACTGAAGCCCTATTGTTCATCCATTGCCACGGTCTTTTTCAGTCCCCACACTACGTTCTGCGTTGCCAGAGATAATGAATTTGCACCCAAACCTCTCATAGTCCCCTACTGACAGACGGAACAAATTAGAAATGTCTCGTCTGAAGGAGGGCAATGGCTACATTTTCCTATTGTAGGATGCACAGCATACATTTCTTTGAAAACTTCTTTTGCCTTTTCTACCTTTTATTTTCTTCTCCCTCTTTTTCTTTTTCTCCAGTCCTTTCCCCTTTATTTCTTTAGACTCTCTCTCTCTCTTAAGAATAGCCCTGTCTTATTTTTCCAATGCACCATTTTATGTAACTTGTGAATCTTTTCTACCTTCCTTCCTTCTTTCCTCTTTCTCTTTAAAAGACTCCTTTTGCTATTTTATTTACAAACTTGGAGAATGACCTTTTGACTTGCAGACTTTTTTTTTTTAAGAAAGGTCTTTTGGTTCGAGCCCCCTCTTCCTCACTCCTCCCCTTCTTTTTGTTGTGATCATTAAGTGTGTTTGGCTAATTACAAGAAATACATTATAAGGATTTTTATTCTTTAAACTCCAGAGCTATTCAAAAGGTACCAGGGACGCGCCATAGGGATTATCTGTTTGAGTGGGGAGAAAAAGCGTGTGTGTGTGTGTGTGTGTGTGTGTGTGTGTGTGTGTGTGTGTGTTTTCCAGGAGGGAAAGAGGCAGAGAAATGTGAAGGGTTTGAGTGGGTGTGTGCAGTGAGAGAAGGGTGGGGGCTTTGTGGGGAAGGTGGGTTTCCTGAAACACGATCGGGAAGGCTGTCAGGGTTGTAGGCGCAAGAGGGAGGGTGCAAGAATCCGTCTTGCTGAGGGCTGCTCGCACCCCTAGGCCTGTTTGCGCGCCCTGGCCAGTCGCAGCCTGGGCACCCGGGTCTGCGCGCGCGGGCGCTTGTTTCGAGCCTGCGCGCGTGCGACCGGAGGCGGGGGCGGGGGGGTGTTGTAAAAATTCTGACGAGTGGCCCGTATGTAAATGATGCCTGCGGGGAGCAGGGAGGAGGTAATAAGAGCCGGGAGCTTGCAGCCCCGCTGGAGGCCCCCGGCTTTCCCGCCAAGTGCAGCCGGAGGACAGACAGCCAGGCGTGTCCTTGGCGGGAGGGCCCCCGCCCGCCGCGCGCGCCCGCCCCCCGTGCACACGCACACATTCCCCTCGCAGGCGTGGGGCCCAGTGGCCACGAGCATGTCAGGAAAACAAAGCTACGGCTGCGAGGTGGAACGAAAAAACAGCAGCCTTGGCGGCCAAGGGCAGGACTGAGAAGCGAAGACCGCGGCTTCTGAAGCCCTTTTCTTGCCAGCCTTTGGCTCTGCCCTCCACCCCCGACTCTGCACGGCCCCGGCCCAGAAGAGGCCGAGGACCATTTCTTAGCTGCCTGGCAGAGGATGGTGAGCAGAGGCGGAAGCAGATGTGCACAGGGAGTTGCCAGCAGCCCCTTGCCCAGTGCGTGGACACGCACAAGCTGGCCCGCGAGGCTTGAGGAGTGGCGGGCATCTGAAGGCCTCCCTGCCGGGTAAGGAAGAGACGCTACCTCTTTACCGAGGCTGCTGAGCTCCAGGTGAAAGACACACCAGGCTAAATCCGGCCAGGCAGCGCCGGAGGCTGCGGCAGCGCAATGGTTCGCACCTCAAGAACCACCTCCCTCCCTCACCCCCCTACCCCTGACAATGTAATCGGTAGGGCCTGGCTGTTTAAGAGAGAACCTCCTCCGACCACCGCTGCCATCACCACAACCACCACCTCCTTCAAATGGGTGAAATTCGAACTCCTGCCCCGGAGCTCTGTCTGGCCTGCATGTCCCTGCAGATAAGTCCCAGACCGTGGCCGTGGAAAGACACAGATCTCTCTCACCCGGCTCACAGCCCCTGCCTCGGTGCTCATCAGCCCAAGCACCTCCCAGCACACACACACATAGAAACGAGACACTCCCATCACATTAAAAAGCATGCTAATGGCATGTCTGTTAATGAAGCCAACGTGCATAATGATTGCACAGGTAAACAGGTACCCAAACGAGAAGCCCCCACCAGTCGACTGGGCGATTTACCTCTCCCTACTGGAAACACGTGTAGTTTATCGTGTTTTAGGATATCGTGATATTCTGTTGTCTGAGGTCTCCCCCTCCTCTTCTTGTGGAGAGAAGTCACAAAAAAAAAAAAAAAAAGAAAAAAGAAAAAAAAAGAAATCATGTTCCATTGTCTGTCTTCTTTCTGATAAGCTACCCGAGCATTGGTCTAAAACATTTGGGAACTCGCTTTGGTTTATCTGTTGTCTTTGGTTTGTTGGTTTTTTTGGGTGTGTTGTTTTTCTGAGGGAAGCAAAAGAACGTGTATTTGATGGGGCTGGAGGTTCAGGACAAGAGCCTGCGTGTGCGGCCGGAAGGCTGGCGAGGCTGGAAGCCAGGCAGTGGAGAAAGAAGACAGCGGCTTGTCCTCCCCTGGGGTTGGCACGGACCCCCTTGGCCCCCTCGGGCCTGGGCTCGGCTACCGCCGCTGCCCCTGCCCGCGCTAGCGAGCTCCATCGGCTGCCGCTCCGTGTTTTCCCCCATCCCGGCTTCACGTTCAAGGTTTAGCTGCGAGGTCACGTCCATTGACGTCAGCTCCCCGTCTCCCACTACGTCCGGCTACATTTACATACATCAAGGAAATTAGGGCATTAAAAAAATATGCAAATCCTGCGCGAAGAGGAGCCGGTGAATTCCTGGCGCGATCGCCTTTTATTGAAGCTTTTAATTAAAGGGGCCAGTTGGCGAGCCCATGAAACAACCGCCAAAACCCCCAAAAGAGAAAAATAAACGCTGTAGTCTTCGGGAACGGTTGTTTCGGTTCCTGTTCTGTGGGCGGCTGAGGACCGCCGGCTGCCCGGCTCCGAGAAGAACAGGTTAGAGGAGGCAGCTCCAGCCCATGCATAATCAGGGCTCCGCGGCGCCTCCATTCTTTCTCCTCCTCCTCCTCCTCTCCTCCTCCTCCACCTCTCCTCCTCCACCTCCTCCTCCTGCTCCCGCTCCTGTTGGTTCCAGCGTGTATTATTTTTAATACTGATGCATATGTAAAGGTATATTTGCATTTTTTAATTCGCGAAAAGTTCAGATTGTATCGTTTTATTGATTATACCCCTCCCCCCCTTTTTTTGCTATCTTATTATGTCTATCTGTTTCTCTTGTCCCTTTCTGTCTGTATTTTTTAGCGAGTGTCTGCTACTGTCTCTTGCTAGATAATATGCACAGTTGCCTCCCTGATTCTGTTCATTTAAGGCTCCAAATATGCACATCTGTCATGTATGTAATGCCAGCTGCATAACCTCCTGGTTTGGTCATAAAAGAAAAGACACGTTTCTTTTTTCTTTCCTGACATACACCCTAGATGGGCTGTAACCCCCATTGCTCAAGGCTCAAAGTTTGATTGTCTAATTAACTTCATATTAACAAAAACACAGTTCTGGCCAGTGCATTTGAAATAATGTATGTATAAGGGAAAGTGACTCCAAAGATATCTAAAGAATTTTTGTGCTGGTTAACTGAAAGGTGCGGCATTCACTGTACTATTGCTTTCTAGCATTTCTTATTGTAAAAAAACAATCTATTTTAAAATGTGTAGACACAGCAATGGACAGCCTTCTGCAAGGAAGACATTTTCAACCATGTTGTGTGTTTTACCTTATCTGCTGCATTCAAAATTTACTGAGTTTCATTTTTATCTTAGTATGGCTGGGGGGGGGGGGGAAGGCACAGTACCTTGATTAAAAAGTGTCTTTAATTCCTGACTTTGAAATGAAATAAATAAATAAACAAACAAACAAAACAGTTGGCTATACTAAGCCATTTGATTTGCCCTAAAATATACAGGCCTTGAGTTAGTTGTCAAGCAGTGGTAATCTTGTTTATAGAGTAGGATCTCCTTCCTGGCAATATATCTATATTCAGCACAATGGCTTTTGAACAATATTTATGTATGAAGTCCACTTTAAATATTCCCTCCAAGCTATTATTTTTAAAAAGATGAATCTATAAGTGCATAGCCACAAAGAACGACAAATAGGCACACATGCAGCTTATTCAATTAAACAAGTCCAAGTACATGCACAGGTGATTAGTTTTCTTATGAATGACTTACCTGCACAGATACCCCAGACAAGACTCAGCCCTCCCCAAGAGCTTTCGTGTATAAATATTCACATATATTTTCCCCATTTTAAATCTACAGCTACATACCACCTTTCATACTGGACTATCCAGCATCCATTATTAGCACCCTTAATTCTTACGGCATTTTCAGCCTTACCTCTGGCTGTAGTTTTCCCAAGCCTACACCAAAGTGTTCATATGATATGTCACCCAATAAAAAGTGGTCAGATGGCTGCACGTAAAACGTTAAAAAATGGAAACACTCATCCCTTATGTTTGCCCTTACCTTGCCATATATAGCAAGATTACCTTTTCTAAAGTACATTTTCATCACATTTTATGAATAGTTGCAGAATTCCACAACTGGTTGAAGAATTGCCGGTTTCTGGGGGGCACCTGCCTGAGTGAAACAATTCGGCAGGTTAAATGTCTTTTCGAGTT